CACTACCACCCCCTACCACCATTACCACCACTATCACCCCCCGACACCACTACCACCACTATTATCACCACTACTACCGCCACCATTACCACCACCACTATTGCCACCATTACTAACAGTACTACCACCCCTAACCTCCACTACCACCCCCTACATCACCATTATCACCACCACTACCACCCGCTACACCACCTATCATCACCACTACCACGAAGACAGGAAGAGAGAGAATAAGAGGAGGAAGAAGGAGAAAAAGAAAACGAGGAAGAAAGAATGAAAGAGTCTACAAATATGAGAGAGAGAGAGAGAGAGAGAGAGAGAGAGAGAGAGACCCCTCCTCCTCCCTGGCGGTGAACACAATTACAGAGTCTAGTGTGTGTGCCCTCCACTTGACAGTCCCTCCACTCCCTCCTTCTCATCTCCTTCCTTTCCTTCCCTTCCTCCTTCTCCAATCTTCTCCTTCCTTCCTTCCTTCTCTTCCTCCCTCCCTAATCTATGCTAAAGATGTCCTCCAGTTTCTCCCTCCCTCCTTCCTTCTCTTCCTCTCTCCCTCCCACCTCCTTCTCTTCCTCTCTCCCTCCCACCTCCTTCTCTTCCTCTCTCCCTCCCACCTCCTTCTCTTCCTCTCCCCCTCCCACCTCCTTCTCCTCCAAACTATGCTGACGATTGCCCTCCCTCCCTTCTCTCTTCCACCTCCTCCCTCCCACCTCTTCCTCCCGTCACCTCCTCCTCCTCCTTGAACTTTATAACGTTTAAAGCCTTAATGTGTTTTATCATTCGACATCAACTTGAGACACAGGAGGAGAGGCAGGGTGACGAGGAGGAGGAGGAGGGGTGACGTGAGGAGGAGAGGGGTGACGTGAGTGAGGAGGGGGGAGGAGGAGGTCACAACAGAAGGGCGATCACATGGTTGTATGCGAGCGTGAGGTAGCATTAGTTGTGTGTATGTAAGGTCATGTCACATTACACACACACACACGCACACACACACACACACACACACACGCACACACACAGATGTATCAACAATCACACCTTTTTTTTTACCTGTCCATGAGT